GTTGTGTTGTGTTCAGTCCAAGATGGCGGCGCTGTGGTTTGGTGCGTTTTTCGCAATGGGACGTTATAAGTAAATGAATAAGTAATGTTTATTTGTATAGCGCCTTTCACAGACCAGAGTCACAAAGCGGTTTACAATTGTGGGCATTAGTCTCTCACTCCACACAGAGATGGGAGTGGGCTCGCCAGTACAGGAGGCACATGTCAGACCTATTGTACATGTTTTTAGTGGTAGGGGAAACCGGAGCACCCGGAGGAAACCTACACAGAGACGGGGAGAACATTCAAACTCCACTAAAAAAGGCCTTGTTCTAACCAGGAATTGAACCCAGGACCTTCTTGCCGAGAAGCAAGAGTGCTTGTCCACTCAGCCAGTGTTGTTATATCAAGATTTGCCTCCTCTTTTCAACTCAAGCTAAAATGAAAATGACATCGGACCGGTATTTTATTTTACGCTGTATTTATTTTTTGGAATCTCTGTAAGTCAATTTGTGGTAATAATATCTTTTTTGTATGTGCTATATAAATAAACCTATCGTTGACTCTTTGTTATAGGTCATATTAATTGTTTATGAAAAAGTGACTAAAGTTAAACTCATTATGCAGTTTTAATAAATCTGGTAGAAAACATACTTTTTGGCAAAATTTCTCAGAATTCCAAGAGAAATTGTAAACGGTTCTAAGTTATTTCCAAATCCTGGGAGTCCAAGTGTTGATATTATGGCTTAACAAACATATAAATGATCTCGGCCTGCTTTCATTTCAAACACTTCTGAATCAAACAGGACCAGGAACTCTGCGGTGATATACAAAAATACATTTATTTGAAACAATTTCAAAATGACAGTTTCTTTACAGTAGAAATATTGAAATCAAGATGGAACAGAACGTCACAGATGATGCATGCAGGTCGCGGTGCACCAGAGCGCGGCACATTACTGAGGCCTTCAGACTTTTCACTTCCACAATCTTGGAGTTTGAGTGTTTCCGGACTGCAGAGCGGAAACTTTATCTTTCTGTAGTGTCGGGATGTTTCCATTGAGATGCAGACGTTTGGGAAGACATTTAGGAACAGTTTAACACCTGTTCGATGTCAAATACCAATCTGTAAATACTGCTGTTATTGTTAAGGCTGTCAATATTTAGTCTTTTAGTTTATGAATTGATTTCTGACTCGACCAAAGTCAGTATTAGTCGACTAACTATTAGAATATCTATGTTAAAACGGTCAAAATGAAAAGATACGTAAAGAACAAGATGGATGGGTAAAGAGGAGCTACATATTTCAGTGACTTTAAGCAAAATTAGCTGTTTTTTCACTGCAAAATTAAGTGAAAATGTATAATTCACTTGATTTCAGTGTCTTTATCCAATCACACCGTTTTTTGGACTGAAGATACTAATGTGTGTTATTCTTATTATTTACTGCTTCAAGAAATCTGAACAAGTGGAAAAATCATGACCCACTGGCAGATAATTTACCAGTAGCTATTTTTTCTAGTTTTTTTTTTGTCCCAACTCTCCGTCCATCTTCTTCCGCTTTATCCTGGGGCATATTTCGGTCCCTCCTCAGAACACTAAGGATGCATCCAGGAGGCATCTACACAAAACAGATGCCCGAGAAGCCACCTCAACTGGCTTCTCGATGTGGAGAAGCAGCGGCTCTACTCCGAGCTCCTCACGCAATCTCTAAGGAAGCACCCTGCCATTTTGCGGATTTCAACTGCTTGCATCTGCTAGCAGCTGTTATCTGTCAAATTTGAGTTTTATGAGTAGAGTTTGGGTCAAATGCGTGATATTTTCAGAGAATTTGCCACAAACCATTTTTTTTACTCAACTAATTGATTGTTTAGGCCTTGGTGTTAAATCAAGAATTTGCTTTGCTTGACTGGAGTACTTATATGTTGTACTGCAAATGCAAAATGCCTTGAATCTTTCCGATAAAACTGAATGTACTATTTTAAATGTTAAAATCTTGACAAAATCGTTCAAATTTGTGAAACGAGATCAAAGCAAATCATGCATATATATCATAGTTTTTTCCCTTCCCTTCAAACAGATTGTTGAAGCGCTGATCCAACCGTGCATCTGAAATGGAAACATCCCCAAAAGCTTTAAAATACATATTTGTTTCATAGACTGCAACTTTCTTAAGGCCCGACATCAGAACCACCATCTTTACATTCATTGAGTTGGAGAAGAAAAGGGGGAAAACAAGTCAAATACAAATTAACGTGACGATGGGATGATTGATTCTTCCTAGTCCAAGCTGAGAAAAATATATTAGCAGACACAAGTTTTATTAGTGCTCTAAATTATGGATTTGCACTTTCTTTTAGACTTTGTTCACTGTGTCCCAATATAATTCTGCCGTTTGCTTTTTCCATGTAATTCATTTGAAATCTTATATTACGTTATGTACTGTGTTTGCCTATCTGGGTTGAAGTTTAAAGGTCTATATCCTGTGGCTTTTGTTGTTGTTGTTATTGTGTGTGTGTGTGTGTTTGTCAATTTGTGTGGTGTGGTGTGTGTGTGTCTTGTGTTGAATGAGTTTGGGGATTTTAGTGTCCCTTGTTATCCTGAACTTTGTTTCCTCTAAAATCCTTTGTTGTTCTTTAAATCCACACTTTACTGCCACAATCTCTGCTCCTTTCCTTCCCGCTCTGATCAGCAGCTCTGATTGGTTAAAGCACGGCCGAGCATCATGGGAGCTCGTCCACTGCGCAGAACCAAGAGAACCAGACGATGCCCAAATATAGGCGAATTCCTCTAATCTTTCGGTCCCTGTGAAGTCTACGGGAGCGCTACTGAGCACAAGCCTTTCATTTGAATACGGCGCCATTTTGGATCACCGGGGCTTGGTTTGAGCCCACCACGAGACCTTGGGCAACACACTTAGCCCCACTTTGCCTGAACCCCCAACGCTGAAAGACCAAGGCTATTATGCTCTCACCGACAGAGAAGCCATCCTCTTGTGGTAGCTGATTGTAATCCCCAACCCTGAAATGGACAAAGGACAAGAAGATGGAAGGATGAATGGAAAGATGGAAGGAAGAAAATCAAAACATGATATTTATATATGTTGGAACTATTGAGCACATCCTTTTGAGTCCATATATTCAAAGGCTTACCATTTACATATTGTCGTAAGAGGTGGTCTCGGTTTACAGAAAGTGTTTGCCGCTTTCCATATAAGGTTGTGTGGCAGTATAGTAGCTTTAGCCACAATCTGCAGAGAGAAAGTTATTTTATGGTTTTTTATTTACTACACTAGTTATTATTTGGCTATAGTGTTCATTTTCCAAACAGGGGACTGTATAACACGTACGAGCCACATTTTACAGTTTTTCGAGAAAGCTTCGGAGTATTAGATCATTTGAACGTTTGGCTTTATGGCACAATAATGGGCCCTGAGTATCAGAGAGAACGATGAAGGCCATTTCACCGCTTGTAAACATTTTGTCAGCGATAAGATCACGAATTTAGGACTGAAAAGTGGCACTGAATCGCCATTTTGGAGGAGCGTAGGGTCATTGCCAAACGCTCAGGTCGGTAATTTTAAGAGTTTTTGCTCATGTTTCATCCAATTCTGTGATGAAAGAGCTTTGTGTGTTGTACCGTTTCGTTGGTTAAAGCTGGAGAACCAAACTTTTAAACAACTAAAAATAAAACTATGCTCCCAAGCTCTCAAAATACACGCCAATATTACATGTATGTGGAAACTCATGTTAAATACCAACTGTTCATTCATAGTTTTCACATGTGTTTTTGGTCGTGTCGTATGTTTAGATCCCTTTTTTCAGAGAGAAAACTGAAAAAGAGAGGACCACACTCACTCAGCCAATCAGCTCTCAGCCCCAATAATTAAATACAAGAATTGAATAGTTAATTTGCAAAAATAGATACGTGCCATGGTGAATATATTAGAAACATTTGCCCTTTACCAAATTGGTTTAAAAAAAAAAGCCAGATCTACTTTAGTACCATACAAATACAGTTTCACCTCTTCTTGAGCAAATTACTTTTAAATTCACAGCTAATAATATAATAAAACATGTCAAAGTGTGTGGGTACAGTGCATGTTATATTATTATTATTAATAATAATAATAATTACTATTATTATTTATTATTATCATTATTCCATTCCATTTATTTTTTTATTTTTTTTTACAATACATTCTCTATTGGGACAAAAAACATGGATTATTTAAGGGGAAAAAAACCCGTATCAACTACAGTAGCCATAGCAACCACCTATTTTTCTGGTTTCTTTCGCTAAAAGATTGACTCCAATGTACTTGAGAACGGCAACCTTATTTGAAAGTCAAACAACCTCTTTCTCCTGGACAGACATCACAAACAAACCCAAAAAAAAAAAATTCACTCAAATTAAACAATAATGTAATTGTTTTTCCAGATGGATGATTATAAAATATCTATTTACAACACTTATCTACAACAGCACATAATCGTGTTCTCCATTAGAACATGCACAAGTCAAGGACCTTATCGTTCTTTAAGCATCGTCAGACTGTAACACACCTTCTGTATCTGTTTAGACTACGAGCATGTAGAAAGTAATATTATATACAGTAAAGAACAAAAGAGCATATTATACATTTCATATATTCCCTGTTTGACTGAGACATTGAGTCTATATATAGGCAGAAATAATCTTCAAAGCAAACTCCTTAATCAATAAATGTACTCTTTATATAATTGGACAAAAACATATCTCACTCTGCAAAGTAAAGTCGTTTTACGTAGCTTATACATCCACAAAACCCAATAAGTTTTGCCAGTAACTTTACAATAATAATGTTAATCTTGAGTATACACCGACGCCCCCTGCTGCTTGGATGTTGTACGACGAGACATCCATGCGAGTCCGTAGAAATGAGGTCCCTTTTAGAAAACTATTCACATCGGCGTGTTGGATTATAAAACAAAGTGAAGCCTCCGGCCGCTGTCGTCTCTGTACACGCCCCGCTCCGTCCGCTCACACGCTGGTGCAGTTCGGGATCTCCCTTGTGCTCTCGCAGGCGTTGCCCACTCCTCCTGTACGCACACACACACAGACGCACACCCAGATACACACACACACACACACATAGACACACACAGACACACACACAGGAAGAAGAGGCGTGGTTAGGTGATGAGGAGGAGCTAGCCATTAAAAGTAGGTAAACATAAAATATAGCTTTTTCCTTGTCCTTTAGTGCTGCTTATGGTTGACCTGATTCTGATCCAGATTCACTTTTTTTGCCATTTGCAGTAAAACCACATTGGAATAAATGTGCAAGAGTACCCCCTGTGTGCGCAATGCAAGTCAAGTTTATTTGTATAGCATAGTAAATAGACTTTTTTATGTGCAAGAAGCTGTGCAGCCAGAGGGGGTAGCCAGACATTGGGGCAATATACGTTTTTTTTTATAGGGAAACCACAAACGATACAATGGGCAATTGGATCAGCAATGGGAGTGCAATCTTGTTTTTATATAACATATAAAGTACGAGTGTCCTAAAAATATAGATTTTTAGCTCAATATTTAGAATGATATTTACATAATACTTACAGTATACAAACATATATATATATATATATATATATATTAAATGCAGTATTATTCATTAAATAATAAGAAATAATAATAAATTAATAGTGTAATTGAGTCAAAATGGGGTTAATTATGTGAACAACAGCCTTTAAACTTTGCTTAATCTCATCAAATCATTAAGAAATATATCATATTGAATCATATTGAATTGAAAGTCCCCTGTATCTAGATATTTATCGTGTCGAGGATAACAAGATATATATTGCGAGCTCTAAAACCCCTCAGCCTCAATATAAACTGTTAGACCCTCATCTTCATTAAGTCCAGTGCAGCTGTTTCCACACAGTTCTCATGCAGAATCTCAGATCGAAACAGTAAACTACTGTTGTTATTCCAGTTGTTCCAAGAAGATTGTGATTGATTTTCTTCCATCTAACTATAGTGGTCCTTGGTCACTTCTAAACTTTCTGAAAAATAAACTTGTCAAACTTGTATCAAATGAAAGTGTACCTCATTTATGCAACACACATACAACACATTTCAACACAACACAATACAACATGTTTTGAGTGAATGAGCTGAATCAATTCTCAAATGCACATCTAAAGGCTGCGGCTTGTTGTTTTCTCTGTGCTTCCAGATAAGGAAAACTGCTTCAATTTGAGTTTACCTAAACAATTAATTATTTGTTCAATTAATAACATTGCAAATTGTTTTCATAACAATAGTTAACCCCATGACAGCCCCATGAATCTTGGAAAAAAACATCTTGAGAAATTAAAAGAAAGTTTAGACGTTCTCAATTCAATTCAATTGAACATATTTTTGTATAGCCGTAAATCACAACAGCGGTGTGTCAGAGGACTTTACTTAGTTGTTGATTAACTAACACAGATTCAAAAAGTTCAAATACAGACAATATAAAAACACAACAAAAACAAACACATGGAAGGCATTGGTCCAAAGAGAGCGGGATAACCAATGTTCATAACACTAGACTCCCAGAGCAGTCAATTTGACGGCTTTTCCTTTTGGAAAACGTTTTTGGTCTCCATAAATTTGTGACTTTTTCTGTATCTATGTAGTTCATTTCTATGTCATTATGTTTATGAAGTTATCTCGACCTGAGGCTGGTCCTGGACTGGTTCAGAGCAACCTCAGCCTGGAGCTAGTGCAAGTTACCATGGCAACGCGATGTTTATTTGCATTGGTTAGCATTTAGTTTAGCTGTATCTCATTTATGTTAAACAGTTTTACCATGTACTTAAGATAATTACCGTGTGAATTATTCAACTTGAATAAAACTTTCATTGTTTCAGTTCAAAATGCTCGGACTCTACTGTTAAACCCTCCTGCATCTGCAAGGAACAAATCACTCCTGGTTCCAATGTAGAAGTGGCTCCAGTGATAATACAGACTCTTTTCAAAGTACTACACTGCTAAAGGTGATGAAACATAAGTTAAACATTGCTGAAATTTGGCAAAATGTATCTTAATTTGTGCACATTGTGATTGCCTCAAAAATATGCCAATTGAACAACGCAAAAATATCTTGTTTTAAAAAGATCCAAGAAAAGTCTCCCTTGGAATGAGAAAATAACAGTACTTAATGGCTTTGTCCCATTGGAAAATCATGTCACAATGTACTCAAAATGATCACAAAAACCACTAAATTCCTCATATTTAATCATTTTTTTGCTAAATTCTGACTGTCCCTACATGAATTTCAAACTTATTCAAGCTGTGACCTGTTCTCGGAGCCCGGCCGTCCTTCTTTGGCTGTAGCTGGATGCTGAGAATGCAGACTTTTTACTTTCATTCATTATTCATTGTTCTTAGTCTTAGTGCAATCTATTCTTCCACTGCTTAAAGCCTTCAGGGCTCTCGCTAACTCCCTCTCTGCACATTCATTAAAAATGCTAAACAGATAATAAGTTGCCGATTTCCTTTGGTAAACAATCATTCTAATTCAATGGCTTGAAAGGAGGCCTGAGGGGGATTAAGAAAAAGAAAAAAAGGCTGGTTAGTCTAATACCTTGTTTATTTATGAAAAAGCACAATGTTTATAAAAGATAGTTTGACGTAATTATAAAGTGTCGAGGGAGGTCACGATATATTCACATGATCGTATATTAATTTGTCTTTTGATGGTCGGACCAAGTGGTTGTTTATCGAGCCAGTTCTGGGAATCCATACGAACGGGTTTTAGATCCAGACTCACAAAGTGCTTTTTTGTTCAGACTAATCTTTTATTCCAAGTTATCGATTGTTTTCTTAATAAAGTGTGTTAAAAGCTCAAATAGACTGTAAGGCTTGGACCAAAACTTGACCGAATGTAAGGAATCATTGTTATTGTAGACAGACGGTAAATACAAAAATCATAATTGGCCTATTACTAATTTTGACGATGAGATTTGAGTTAAAATTGAGCATGGATTAAACAATACGGTGGTTTTATTGAATACATTAGATTTACAATGATGTACTTCGAGCCATTGAAGCCTGTATCTTCAAAGTTAAAAATATTAATTGAAAAAATGTTGGTGGTTGCATATTTTTCACCCCCGTTTCAGGCCCTGTCCACACGAAGTCAAGCTCAGGCCTAAACGCAAAAATACTTTATCAATCCAGTGTATCGTCCATACGAGGCCAGCGTTTTGGGGGGTTGTAAACGAACATTTTTGAAAGTAGGTCCCAGAGTGGAAAGATTTCAAAACTCCGTATATGCCGCTCCGTGGTTACTGCCTCTCCGCAATGTATCTGAGACGCTTGCGTCATCGCCCCGCCTCTTGTTAAAGCACGCATGCGCCGCACTCAGAAAATAATGACAAAAACAATGTAGCTTGTTGGTTTTGTAATGCAGTGTGACCCGAAGCAACAGTTCAACCTCATCGTCCGTCCATACTAATGTAGTACCAGCTCGCCCACTCGCCATGTTGCCTGTTTACAAAATTCCGCGCATGCCCACGGAAGTTTGGGCTTGATCCAGTCATTGCGTCACAGCGCCACCAACAGGTCTGGCATAGTTTCACAGCGTTTTCAGGCGTATTGACTACATTCATATGGACGCACACATTTACTGAGCTAACTCCGTGTTTACAGAAAAAGTTTCTGAAATTATAAGCGTTTTGTCTTCGTGTGGATATAGCCTTAGACACATAAAAAGAAAACGCTGCGGGGAATGTTGGAAAAAGCCATTTGGAGATGGGTAATACACATCTTTACAAGTACATAGCTACCATGAAGGCTGTAACTGTAACTATTCTTTATTAAATATGTTGTGGTATTTAAATCAGATTACTGGACCAGGTCGTTCATGAGAACAAGATTTACAAAAGTTAACTACACACATATAAGAGCTGTTTTCTTAAATGTAGTGCCTAACTTTAAAACCAAATACAAAATAATGTAAATTCATCTTGCTTGTTCCTTGCTCTTGGTTCTATCTCTTGTTTTTAAAGGTATTTGGCCTCTGTCTACAGTAGGACTTTATTTTTCTGACATAATTGTGAAAAAGAGAGGACCGTCCTCAGCCAATAAGATCTCAGCAAAAATACTGCAGTACTTAATGAATTAAAGCTGGGGTACCTAATTCCCCCCAGCCTCCTCACATGGCTATTACAAAACATGTTATATTTTGTGCATACTTGTAAGAAATAGCCATGTGAGTCACTATATGACTCTTTGGGCTGAGAACTGATTGGTTGAGGGCAGTCCTCTCTTTTTCACTTTTCTGTCTGAAAAAAGCAGATCCAAAGATGTGACAGTAGACGAAAATATATCCATGAGAAAACTATCGATAGATCCAAACTGTTTTGAAAGCAAGGATCTGTATGACATTCTGTGGCTCCATTGTTTTGTGGTTTGAAAGTCAGGTACCTCAGCTTAAACCTTTGTGGGCGTGTGTTGGGGACCGACTTACGTTTGACCCTGGCGTCCAGCTCTTTCTCCATCAGCTCTTTGGACGTGGGGAACTCGCTGAGGGTGATTTTGGGCGTGGTGTCCTGCCCCACTGAGCCGATCATCTCCTGCTCCTTCTCCTGGTTCACCTCTGCGTAGATGTTGATCCAGGGGATTTTTCTGAGTAAACACAGAAACACTTTGATTAAGTGCACAGATTTATTGTCAAAAGTAGTTTTTCTATACCCAGTTTTCAACCAAACTTATACATCTTTGGTTCTGAGATCCCAAAGCAAGAAATTGTGGGAAAATTGTGGGAAACATAGAAATAATTCCAGTATTATCTAACTTAATTATGAATACATTTATTTCTCTTTACATACATCATCTAATGCGCGGAATGGGCAGCACAGTGGCTGAGTGGATAGCACTCTCGCTTCTCAGCAAGAAAGTCCTGGGTTCGAATCCTGGTCGGAACAGGGCCTTTATGAGTGGAGTTTGCATGTTCTCCCCGTGTCTGCGTAGGTTTCCTCCGGGTGCTCCGGTTTCCCCTACTACTAAAAACATGTACAATAGGTCTGGCATGCGCCTCCTGTACTGGCGACCCCTCTCCCATCTCTGTGTGGAGTGAGAGGACAATTGCCTAAAAAAAAGCCATTGTGTATTGTTACAGCATGTCATATTTACTCCTGACCGCTAGAGGGCGCTTGTTTTGGGGATTGTTTTAAGTGTAGTTTGTAGGTGGGGCAGAAGTAAACAAACCTGTGCTGTTGTTAGATATGCAACGTTTATTATCGTTATTGAAGATGTTTGGATAGTGATGTGAAGGTTAACCCTTTGAGTACAGTGTTTGCTATTTTTTGACATATGCACTTTATTTTTCTGCATACTGAATGCCTGTTTGTATTTTGTGTTTGCAGTTTCACACTTTTTTGCAATTAGGACACTGGGTCCCATTGGGTGCAACAGTACACATTGTAAACCGCTTTGTGACTCCAGTCTGTGAAAGGCGGTATATAAATATAGATTTCTTACTTACTCACTAATGCATATTTTTAACACCAAATTGACTTCCTTGTTCCGTTGTTGCTCCAATTTATTCCCAATTACAGTTGAACCCGTTTTTTAATAGCCCTGTTTTATGAAGTTACTGGGTGTCACCTTTTGTCTATCTCACAGTGAATTTACACAGTAGGCGTTCAGAGCACGTAAGCGTTGACGCGCCTAACATTATAATATTCAGTTGTTCTGGTGTGTTTTCTATGTATAAAAAATTATGTTTTTAATAAAAGGTGTTGGTGGGTTTGACCCGGGGTGGTTTAAGGTCAGGATCAGAACAGAAGTGGTTAGGATTAGGACTTGGTCTGGGAGTATATTCAATTTTGTTTAATAGAGAGATGGTTAAGATTTAGGCATTTATATAGAGGTGGTTAAAGTTAGGATCTGTGTAAGGTTGGGATTAGTTGGGGTTAGAATTAGCTATTTATTAGGAGTGGTTAAGATTAGGGTTCAGAATTGGGATGGTTAAGAAAGACAAAAAAAATGATGTCCAGAATCTCCTTCAAACCTGCTCACCCAATGTTTAGATACAAGGGCTGTGTGTGGAGCTGATCTAGAGCCAAGGACCGCTCTAGATCAGCTCCACAAAAACATGTTTTCCATATCCGTAATACGTCAGTCTTATGCTCGTACAACACTAGTGTAAATATCACAATAAGTTAAAATGGCGCTTACGTGCTGTAACGCCTGCGGTGTAAATCCCCCATCACAATACATCTCTTAAAAAAACAAAACCTGGCAGCTAAAGAGTTAATACATATGATACATTACTTGGACACAGTATAGCTTTAAAATAGTACCATAGCATCCAACATTAGTTTATTCCTAAACAAGTAAAGATAACCAAACATATCCAGTGTCACAATATAGATGCATAACAAGAATAAAAAAAAAAAATAGATTTCCAAAACCAAACCTACACATCTTGGGTCAACATATGTGAGATCCAAAAGCAATTTACCGCCCCAGAAATTGTGGTTAAAGTAGGAAGAATACCAGTATTATCAAACTCAATTATAAACACATTTATGTCTCTTTTACATACATCATCCGAGGCGTATTTATAACACCAAATTGACTTCCTCGTTCCGTTGTTGCTCCAATTTATTCCTAATTACAATTCAACTAGTTATTAATAGCCCTGTTTTGTCAACTCTGAGACTTCCAGAAGAAATTACTTCTCTTTAGATTAATGAGAAAAAGTCCATATCCATAATTAATGACAGCTTTCCCCCCATTTCTCCAACACTTTTCAAGAGAATCATTTTGAGGATGAATAATTTATTTAGCAAATAACACAGGGCGGCACAGCGGGCGCATATTAAAGCGTTTAATGGGCGCTTTCTCTGCATTTTATCACTGCTGCAGAGGAATGACGTGAGGAGGGTCTCTGGGGGATTTTTCAGATTACATTTGCAAACAGAATAGCACCCATCACGAGTGTAATTGATTCGTTCGGACTGCGCTCCACTGCTTGTATCAATAATGAATGCTATGGTAATGGAGAATATAAGGTGGAAAAAAAAAGTCGTACCTCTTAAACTTGTAGATGAGGAAAACGGCTAAACCCAAGAACACGACGGAGAGAAGCATCAGCATCGCCGAGCTGCTGTGATGAGGGCTGGAGTCCACCAGGGGCGCTGCAGCAGAGACCACACACACACACACTGGATTAAAAACATATGAACACTGAAATAGATAAATACACCACTAGAAACAACACACATGTCATGGTCAGGTAAAGGAGCGCCCAAACGTTTAGTAAGAAGGCCATCTTAGTTCACCAGAATTGTCAAGGAGGAAGCAGGAGTAAATCATTAGCTCTGTGGGTTCAAACATGCAGTGATGAAACTACTGTAAAGCGAGGTATGACGTCATGTCCATGTTGATTCACATTTGACGGAGCTGAAGCTGGCTGAATGACAAATTATTACTTTCTCTCCAGCTACATTAGAGCCATAGGCATAATTTTGTGTTACGATCAAAAACAACTCTCAGTCATCCCAATGAAGTCAAAGAAAGGATGTGTGTATACTTGTGTGTGATATTGTTTATACATGCATATACATCTATTTCTGAGACTGAAAACTGATTGCTTTAAATATAAGAATTGACTCGCAAACAGTGGTCTTAATCTTGCTTCTCAGCAAGAAAGTCCTGGGTTCGAATCCCACTCTGAACATGGTCTTTCTGAGTAGAGTTCACAGGTTCTCCCAGTGTCTGCGACCACTGCTTTGTCAAATGCAGAGGACGGTGTTTAATTTATTTTTAGAAACATTTTTATTATGCGCTGTCCCTGATCAAATACATACATTCAAAGAGTTGAGAGCTGGATGGAATGTGGCATGACTGCATTTATAACGTATTCCATTACATGCTCCAGTCAGAGTACTGCATTGTGAAGAGCTTTAGTGTTTTCAGGGACAATTGACAAATACAGACGTCCTTATCATTGAGATTTGTCAATATCTCCACTTTATGCGTCGGCTTTGACAGCTTTGTGAACGTTCTTTCCATTTTCACATGAATTATCTTTGGAACAGAAATGACATTCAGTCCCCAATAAAAAAATACTGTAGACTTCATATAATACACATCCGTCAGTTTGGTAATGGATCCAGAAATGAGATCCCTGTGTTTCCAACACCACAAATGTCTCAAACTAAGCTACCGTGAAATTGTTTGTTTCTCTTTGGGAGACAGTGACAGCAGCAGGTAAATCTGAAAGAGCTAATTACACATTTGAAACCAGAGAGTCTGCATGAAAAGTGTTGGATGTTTCATTACTATTTGAGAAAGTACTTATTAAAGTAGTCAACGTAGTGATGTAGACTTCAGTCAATCTTCTGGTGTGAACTAAGATGTGTGTGAAGAATAGTTGTCGGATTGACGGGAGCAACAAAAATATCCATTAAACAACTTTATGAATAAACCAATGTAAAGAAGAAATTGACTCAAAATATTCTAATTTTCAGAAATGTTTTGTTTGTGTTTTTTTCTTTTTCTTTACTATTTATGGTTGAACTATCAGCAATACAACACTTACAAGTTTGCTATATCTCAGTTTGCATGTAATGAGTCCATCCCATATTAGTTCCACATTGAATACCAGACATACTGTATATGGACTTTTGAACATTATTCAACTTTTCCAGAAATTCCACTCAATAGAGAATGTTTGTGTTTTCAATGTTCAATTTCAATTCAATGTATTCTTGTAAGTCCCTAAATCACAACAGCAGTTATCTCTGAGGACTTTATACCACCGATGAATTCGCCAACACAGATCAGAGAATCAAACAGTTACAGGAAAAAAAAAAGAAAACACATTGGTATTGGTCCATAGGGGGCAGATGACCAACGTCCATAAGTGTTTTGAAATGTAGGTGCCCCAGCAAAAAACAATCGAGAACCAGGAGAAAATCATCACAATGAGCTGGGTCAGCCTTTTGAAAACAGTACTCATCTCATACACACCATCCTCCCCACGCAAATGCTCTCTAGTTAATGTCACACGGCCTGAACATCCCCAGGAGCCTTTGACCTTATTCCTCTTATATACGTTTGCATATAGTGCCTGTCATTGCCGTCGCCTTTCCGTTCTCTCCTCCGCTGCTCGGCAGACAAGAGACAGAGGCGTGTTTGATGCTGACCTTTCCTCCGGCAGCTTGAACGCTTTTTAGACCTTTTCTCCGAGGTGAAACATAAAGAGAGATCCAGCCGAGTACACCTCCAATGTCATCGCAGTAAAGCACGACGTCACGAGAGCTCTGCAGCCTGCTAATACCCCCCCCCCCCCCCCCCCAATGGTTTTAATGGACACTTTTACGCAATGGTTTTATATGGACACTTTTGTATATAATGGTTTTTGGACACTAAAAGATGCCTTACTTGTCAGCCCCACTGTGGCACCTGGTTTTCGCAGAGGTCTCCTATCACAGTACTAAGCAGGCCCTGCCCAACTTTATGCAGATGATCTGATCATCATGTCCCCCTACTCTGCAGGTCTGCAGCAGCTGCTGAGAGTCTGCACAGAATATGGGGAACTATATGACATTAACTCTAAGAAGTCAGTAGTTATGGTGGTGAGGACCAAAGAACACCTGAAGACCTCTTTTCCTGCCTTTTATTTGTCTGGTGTGGTGCTTCAGTATGTAGAGTAGGCCAAATACCTGGGGCACGTTATCAGGAGTGACCTCAGTGATGATGATGACATCCAGAGGCAGTACTGTAAGCTGTATGGACAGGCTAACACTTTGGCACGGAGATTTCACATGTGTACAGATAAAGTGAAAATAACTTTGTTTAAAGCCTACTGCACACCGCTCTATACTGCCCACTTGTGGTGCAGATACAGTAAGAGTAAATTTAAGAAGCTGCAGGTTGCATATAATGATGCACTTAGAATTTTACTGCGAGTCCCTCGTTGGGCTAGTGCCAGCTCACTGTTTTTAATAATGTCCCCACACTGACTGCTGTGATCCGACATTTTATATATAGGTTCATGAAACGCTCTGGGGACACTTTAAATGTAATAATGAATGTTTTTACTGTACAGAGCAGTGTTAGGCACACCTGACCGCTGGAGGCATTGGAGAAACTGTCTTTATAGAATTTAGTAAATATTGAATGTTTGTGTTTTTTTTGTCTCTTTTGTTTTATATGGACCCTTTGTGTGTCTGAATTAAAGATGAAATGAAAAAAATTGCATCAGAAGTCTGACTAGATCTGGATTTCACATGCAAGTATGGCCAGTAATGACTTCAGCGTTGATTTGATTTGAATGATATCGGTCTGTGTGATTAAAAAAAAGAAAAAGGTGAACTCAAAAGGGTTAGCGGCGATGTCAGAAAGGTAATTTGGCTCTAGCCCTTGAGTCGGCATATATTGACTTTATTACTCTCTGAAATTACATGAATAATGATGCGGATTGCCTTTGCGGTGAGAATATACTCTTCTTTGAGTCCTGGCTTTGACAAATCTGCTGAGCTTCACATAATGTTCTGTACAATTACAGCGTCTAAAAATCTTTTTTGGAGAATAAACTGAAAGAAGAGAATATGTTGTTTCTTCAAATGTAATGTTTGGGTAGCCTTTAGATGAGAAGTACTAGTAATATATTTATAATGCTCTCTTCAGATAATCAATAGATGCAGAGAGGCCATGAGTGATAAAGCAAAACTATGTACATGTTAATATTTTAATATCATAATATGTTTTTCCTTTATTTGATTCGAGAAATATTTTTTACACCCCCAGCCCTTAATTTTTTTTATTTCATTCATACTTCCTTATTGAAAGTAAATGTTAGTTACTTCAAATCACTTTTTACTAGACAAGCAGCATCCTGATTGGTCACAATTAATTCAAATCCTTAAGGCCCCTCTTGATTGGTTTGATTATTCTCCTCCAGGAAATCTTACTGTCCATAGTTATGCCAAAAGGAGGTGGTACTGCTGGTACTACTACTACTACTACTATTATTATGAAACTATACTGTATATACTAGTACAGTGTTCCATGGTCAGAAATATATACTATTAAAAAAAAAAAGTTGTTGGCATGATCTTTGACTAGTACACAACTCTCTTTGGCAACGCACTAAGCACTGTTCTCGATTCTCTAAACTTAAATGAATTACTATCGCTGAGAATGACAATAAACTTGGCACACACAGACACTCACTCAGAATTTACATTTTAAATACATCATTATCAGTCTCGAACAAAAGTGGTGTATATCGTCAACACACAAGTCAGAACAGACATAACAAGAAAGAAGTGAAGAGAGAAAATATAGTGTAAGTAGCATGTGAGCTGTCATGTGTGGCTTCGTTTCTTTTTTTCTCAAGGACACTGACGGAAATAATGATACAGAGCGTTGTCAATTCGTGGTTTGAGCGGCTAATAAAAACAGACTTTTGATGACAGACATAAAAGAGGCACATTCGGAGCACCTGGGCCCGTCTCCTGTGTTTTCCTGTCCGCCGAGACACACGCCGCAATAATAATTTGCTACGGACACATAAAATGCTTGTCAAAAACACTTCTTTGGTGTTTTATTATGGAGATTTCAGAATGTCAGGGTGGTTATTTGCACCTGAATAGAAAGGGAAGTGTTGACGGCTTCTTGGTAAATAGGGAGAAACTTACCCAGTGTTAGCTGCGTGTTGTAGACGATGACTCTGACCCCGGGCTTCAGTTCAAACTCCACCAAGTTCTGGTTCAGAGCGTTCACGATGACGTCCGACGCCTGAGTGCGACAAAAGGAAGACGTTTTGTGAACTTGCGTCGAAAAGGGGATTCATGCAGGATTTGTTCGGAATGAAATCTGAATTATTTTAGTCCATGGGTGTCAAAGTCAAGGCCCGAGGGACAGATACGGCCCATGAATGAGTTATCTTGGCCCCGGGATGATATTGGATTAGTAATATAACCGGCCCGCACATAGCCATAAGAAAATATTGGATTATTAATTTAATGTGTTTCTCTGTGTTTTCTCTTTGAAGGAAGTTTGTTTTTGTCTGTGAGCCTGTTGACATTTATAATCACTTGAAATGACTCACACAGCCAGACAAAAATATTAGATTATTCATTTAATCATGAAATAAAATACGGTCCACTGTGTTAGGTCTTGGTTCAACAGCAATCATTTTCATATGTTTTAATAAACATTGAACCAGTCCGGCCTTCGGCTTTTAGAAAATTTGTTTTTTTTGGCCCTTTGATCTATTTGACTTTGACGTCCCTGTTTTAGTCCAATTGAAATGAGCTTTTTTCATAGGTCTAGTTGTTGTGCCGTTTTCTTTTATTCTTGAAGGCAGGCTGATACAACGTTCGAACCAAGTTGGAAAGATCCAGTTGTCATCCAGCCAACTTCAGCTCGGCCAATATGGGCATTCTAAACCTTGTTGTAAAGCTAAACATCTATGGGATCATTTACTGACAATGTAGCTGGCGAGAAAATAAACATTACTCATTCAGCCAACTTGAACTCTGTAAAATATGTATCATTATGTTGTGACCCATTTTAAAGCGGCTTGAATCCAGTTAAGACAGTTTTACAATTTGTGTTGTCGGCTTTTGGACAATTCTGATGAACAAAAGAGGAGGTATTACTAAAAAGCTTGGAAGCCCGGGCATTAGAGATTCATTATGTTTTGTGCAAATCCTTGTGACACTGAAAATATGGACACTCTATGGCACATGTGTCAAAGTCAAGGCCCGCGGGCCAAATCCGGCCCGCGAATGAATTATCTATGGCCCCCGGGACATTGCCTGCCATTGAGGCAATGTATTGACCCCTTAAGCTCGCTAGCCCCCGCCGGCGGGAGCAAACGAGGAAAAAAATACATCTGCTGGCAATAGCAGATGTACAGTATTTTGAACTTCATAAGCCACAAGCTATATATCATTTTAAAGCTTATTTTCTATTTTTAAAGCTATATTTATATGTAAGTGTAAATGATATCAGACATTGCATTAAAAAGATATAACGCATAATATGGGCACAAAATAAATCAGTCTGTATTTGTTTTTTACCTTTCGTCTTCTGCTGCTCCAACAAATTAGACTTTCCCCATCCTTGCTTAGTCTCTTTCTCTCCGTAACTGTTCATTGAAGAAGAATATCCACTTGTATTTCCCAAAATATAATCCATTCTTCAGATTTAATCAAAAAACGCCCCGAAAAGAGGTCCAGACTGCTCTTTTACATTTCACCAAGTTTGAGCTTTTTCTTTTTTTACTATTTTCATGTTCTCAGATGTCTATTACATCTAATATGTACAGTATGAGGATTGGCTTTGGAGCATATTTTATCGAGCCAACAGGTGTCACCGGCACTGCCTCTGGATGTTGAGAAACATGAACCAGTCCGGCCCTCGGCGCATAGCAAACATTTTTTTTTGGCCCTCTGATGTATTTGACTTTGACATGCCTGCTCTATGGGAAGATAAAGCAGGTTCCATGTGGCAGCACTTGGTAGCAATAACATTTACTTTTTCTTCTTCAAACCATATTCTTAATCTCATAATTTTTCTGGTGCTGCTTTTGGACCTCAAGATACACCTGGGTTGATAATTCTCTGTACCCAGGGAATACACGTTCTGTGGTTAGACAAATAACAGCCACAAGCGGCCCTCACCTTTTCCAGTTGCTCTTCTGTTTTCTTGCGTGTTTCCGATAAGTTCTTGCGCGGCAGTAAGAATAGCTCGGCAGCAGTGGGGACACCTGGGAACACAGCCACCAAGAGCTGCTCCTCTGGGAAGTCCGAGACCTGCAGCAGACCAGAAATAACACTCATAAGTCAAGTACTGTGCATAGATAATTATCACAATGGTACCTTTGTCAGAGCATACAGTATCGCCATTAGTCCAATAGAGGGACTTTGTTATAAAAAAGAAATTAAACAGATGACTCCATGGTGAAACATTAAAGTTAATTCAACATTAAAGATGCAGTCAGTGATTTTTTCCAGAGACATTCTTTTCTTAAATATTGTGGGAAAATGTCGCTAAACCCTAGAAGTATTCAAGTTATCATGTGTTTTCAAATAGTAATGGAATTGACCAAATGCCTAAAGTCCCCAATAATTTATGAAAAAAATACTTTGAAGCGGACTTGTTCATCCTCAACGAACACATGGGATGCGTTTATCCCCTTCACCCTCATCCCGTTTCTCGCGAGTGCACGCACCTGAGTTATCGGATTTTCTAAAACCTTCAATGGCTGAACAGAAATTGCCAATTTCATGTTTTCCGCCCACTCTCTCAGTTGTGACAAAGACAAGAAAATGCTGGATGTTTGGTTTGGTGGAGAGGCGACGGGAGGGAATGAGTGGTTTCCAGTTGGTGCTACGGCTAAGCTAACAAAATCGCACACATTATGTAAACTTAAACTGGGGTGCCAGCAAATCAGACCACATCATGTAGTCTTCGTCAAAAAACCAATCATCTTTTGCAAAAGTGTAAGAAAGTTTCCTGTCACTATTTGATGCCTTGTACTGAGTGAAGGTAAAGGTGAAGGGGAATTTTATTTATCCCCGTATGGGCAATTAATTCTCTGCATTTGACCCCCACTAGGGCGTCTATCAGGAGCAGTGGTCGCCGAAGTAACAGTGCCCGGGAACTCCAGATGTTGATGCTCGGCTTGGTTAGGACTACCAGAGCCGGAGGATATACGTATATGTCATAATGTGCATTTTGACAGTGATAGGGAAAACCAGAGCACCCGGAGGAAACCTGCGCAAGCACGGGGAGAACATGCAAACTCCACACAGGAAAAAACCTTTTCCGAACGGGATTTGAACCCAGATCCTTCTTGCTGGGAAACGAGACTGCTATCCACTCAGCCCTACGGTGGTCCTCCTCTATTCACTTTTCTGTCTGAAAATGTGCAAACTAGTGACAGAACATGTTTTGACAAGGTGAACAAGTTACATGGATTTTATTATCTTATTTATCCTTGTCAAGAGTTAATCTTTGGCCCTTGTTGTCTGTGTATTTGCTGTGGAACTATCAGTATACGATATATACTTTATTGTTATGGAGTTAAGACTAGGGCCATCTATACCCCCAGACACACCCAGGCACACGTTTTTTCTGTCTTACTAAAAGAACGAAATTCTTTTAGTGCAATTTGGCTACTGCCGCATCCCGGTTGGAAGTTAAGTTCTTTTGTGATCGCTTTGCACTTGAGACAGAGAGACATGGCACAGATTGTTCCCAACCCAAAGTTCTCTCTGAGCGCGTTAAGAAAAGAAGAGTTGAAAAAGAGCCAGCCACAAGAACTCTAACCAGAAATACAATACTGATTCACTTTGACAACTTGGTTAGCAGTTAGGTTGTCCTCTGGTTTGTAGAAGAAATACAATTCGCTGAGTATTGGAAAATCAAAAACTGAGGCTGAAAACAAAACCAGGCTGGAAAAGAAATAGGCTGGAAAAAAAAAAACAGGGTTCATAATTTGATGAAATGTTACCATCAAACTGTTGCATTGTGCTTTATTACCGGTCCCAAATAACTAAATTATTATTAACCATAACTTCATTATTAGACAATGCACGCACCACTTCCGCATTTTAGTTATAACCCCACTTGACTTCCTGTGCGCGGGGATCGGCTTGAGTTTCACTGGAGTTCAGCAGATGCTTACAAGAGTTTCCTGAATAATGCTCAAACGGGAATGAAACTGTGAGAATACTCTGCATTTTTGGGACACAGCAGTGCTCTTTGATTGTGCTGTCGTTGTGCTTTTATAAAGTTAACTAATCTCTCTGAGTGGCCACAGTCAAAGCTATTCCTCAGTGAGAAAGCACGTCAACACTTTTGGGTCAGTCTCACAGCTGAATGTATCAATCTAATTAATAAAAACGTCACTACAACTCACCATAAAGCCATAGCGAGAGAATAGACAGGAGGTAAACGAGCTGTTCTGTGTTTAAAGGAAATTACACCACGCCTCCTCGTACATATAGCCCTTTAGACCCGGTGGAAAAATGACTTGAACATGAGCAGGTAAAAAGACAGATTTTTGCCGCTTCTTCTCTGACAATGTATTGATTTAGGTTTACAACTAAGTAAAATGTTATTATTATCATTCTGATTTGAATGCCTTGCATGATTTTTTTCTATCTTGTTATGTTTAGCACTTGCCTTGTGTATGGACTGTGCTAATTTAGGTTTGGCGATTACGAGGAAATATAATCGAGATTATGAGCCTAAACGCTGGTGGTGGTGGAAGCTGAGCCCTAACCCATGCCTATTATCCACTGAAAAGGCCAGGAGGAGCTAACCTTGCCTGCAAGCTGAATTCTCGCGGTATTTGTGAGTTCACAAACACTCGAGAATACATCTTGTACCGCTCCCGCTTACACTTTTCGAGTCGAACCACTGGGTGTGCGAGCCAATCACGCGCCAGTCTGGGGGTTTAGGGCGGGATATCCGGGTACATTTCTGGACGGCAACCTTGGTAGGCGGGCACACAGCGTCACTTCGCCCAATCAGCTTCAAGTATTCTGCTGCTTACCCCTCCTTTCCCCGAAAGGATTCTCCGGGAGAAATCCCAGATTGATATCGCGGAGAACGCGTTAGAGTTCTACACAATCATCAATCTGGCTTTTGCCAGGTTAAGGAGGAGCAGGGTTGCAGCACGAACAGCCCCGCATCCAGCTGCAGCCGTGAAGTGATGTAGATGAGCTCAGGTGTTGGTGCGAAGCAGAGGAAGCATGGGCGGCACGGTGGCTGAGTGGATAGCACTCTCGCCTCTCAGCAAGAAGGTCCTGGGTTCGAATCCCGGTTGGACCAGGGCCTTTCTGAGTGGAGTTTGCATGTTCTCCCCGTGTCTGCGTAGGTTTCCTCCGGGTGCTCCGGTTTCCCCTACCACTAAAAATATGTACAATAGGTCTGGCATGTGCCTCCTGTGCTGGCACCCCCACTCCCAAAAAAAAAATCACAATTGTAAACCGCTTTGAGACTCCTATGTGCAATGAAAAGGCGGTATATAAATAAAGATTACTACTTACTACATTTAGTGTGGCAAGTCTCCCAATCTCCCTGTCTGAATTTCCACTTTAGCCGTATTTGTTAATATAAGTTTTTTCCAGTCAAATACCAAAGATCATGCAGGCAGACTTGGACTTTGAACCTTCTCTGTGCAGAAGTCCCAACATATAATTAGTACGTAAGTAATCTTGATTTGCACATTTTTTACAGACGGCGACAGTGGCTCAGTTGGTAGAGCATTGGACTTTGAGCCTGAAGGTCATGGGTTCGAGCCCACCATAAGACCTACTTCATGAGTCACACTGATGACTGCTGTCGTTGTGTCGTTGGGCAAGACACTTAACCCCACTTTGCCTGAAGCCCCCACTGAAATATCTCAGCTCCTGTGGACTCACCACCTGCAGGAGGATGAGTGAAGAATGGGAGAAGATGGATGGATTTTTTTACAGACCAAGGCGCTTTACAATGTTTCAACAAGGGTCCCAGCTTTAGAAAATGTCCAACCATTTGTAATCGTACCATGTTTTGCAGCCGTTTAAAAGAGGAAATAGATTGAAGTGATAAGGTGCTAATGTTATAAAACCTAATCATCATGCCTGACATACCTTTGAACCAAAGGCAGTGCAAAAACTATCCCGGCAAGGTATTTGTCAAACCATTTTCAAATCAGACATATTTCATGAAACCTCACGGTGTAGAGCAGAATAAGTACATTCCATCATAAAGTCTATTTTGCAGAGTAAAAGGGTTTTGTGACATCAAGAACGCAATTTCACTCAATTCACAGAGCAGAGAAACCATTTTTGCTTGTGGCTTTCATTGCTTTTCCAAACACAGGGGTAAGCCATTCTCTCTCTGAATGCTACAGCACATTTTATCACATATGAGCTCTATAAACCATTCAATGATTTTATAAAGAGTGCGTGTGGCCTCTCCATTCCAGCAGCTGTTGTTCAGTCCAGACCCACAAACCAGAGGGCACCAGTTATTCATGGGGGGAAGTCACTATAATCAAAATAAGGAGGTATAGGAGGTAAAGGGAGGAGGCACAGTAAAGAGGTAAAGTAAGGAGGTAAAGTAAGGAGGTAAAGGGAGAAGGTAAAGGGGGTAGGCAAAGGGGAGGGGCTTAAGGAAGAATTTAAGAGATTAGAAAGAAAAGCAATATACTGATCAAGGAATTAAGTGACCAGAGAGTTGAACCCAGCGATAATTTATCCCAGATTTATCAAAGTTATTTTTTATTTTTATTTTACAAGTTTTTATTTTATCGTGTCCTTAGGCAAGACACTTAACCCCACTTTGCCTGAAGCCCCCGCTGAAAGATCTCAGCTCCTGTGGACTCACCACCTGCAGGAGGATCAGTGAGGGGCTGGTGCTCTGTGACTGGGTGCAGCTCTGACTGCCACCCCCCCGACCCAGAAATGGATTAAGGGGAAGAAAATGGATGGATGGATGGAAGTTTTTATTTCTCATGAAAAACGTATTGGATTGTTTTTTTTTGCTTGAATGTTTTGCACGTTTCCCATCAGAATGACTAACTACCTTATTATTACCTTACCTTACAGATACAGCGGTATACAAGTATGTCTTTCTTTTACTACTACACAATTTTATGTCTTGCTTCTTTATTAAGCTTTCTATATAGATATAGATTTAATTTAGTATAGAGTTTTGCTATGCCTACAGTATTCACTTGTATTGTGTGTTCTTCCTACTGTTCTGTAACTGCAATTTGTAACGCAACACTGACATTTCCCCACTGTGGGACGAATAA